TCTGTTGCCAAGACTGGAGTGCAGTGGCGTGATCTCGGCTCACTGCAACCTCTGCCTTCTGGGTTGAAGCGATTCTCCTGTCTCACCCTCCCAAGTAGCTGGGACTACAGGTGCATGCCACCACGCCTGGCTAATTTTTTGTATTTTTTGTAGAGACGGGGTTTCACTGTGTTAGCCAGGATGGTCTCAATCTGCTGACCTCATGATCTACCTGCCTCAGCCTCCCAAAGTGTTAGGATTACAGATGTGAGCCACTGAGCCCGGCCAAGATCTGAAAGTTTTTGAAGTGGCTTCCCCTTTGCTGGGCACTCATTCTCTCTCCTTCTAGCCTGTGAAGAGGGGCCTTCTGCCATGATTGTAAATTTCCTGAGGCCTCCCAAGCCATGCTGAACTGTGAGTCAATTACACCTCTTCCTTTATAAATTACCCAATCTTGGGCAGTTCTGTATAGCAGTGTGAGAACAGAATAATACAGTGGGTTGATAGTTTTCATCAAGTTTCATCTAAATTTCCAGCCATTTTTTTTAGTTTTTTTCTGTGTTCCTCTACAACTTCTCCTTTTGAGGATTCCAATTTTAAGTATTTTTGGCTACTTGAAGTAATATCTAATATGTGATAGTACGACAGTGTGATGATAGCTTTGTTAATTTTAAAATTCTATTTTCTCTTTGCATTTTATTTTGAATAGTTTCTGTTGCTATGTTATTAAGTTCACTGATTTATTTCTGCAATATCTAATCTGCTTTTAATCTCGTAAGTGTATTATTCATCTCAAACATCATAGTTCTCACCTCTTCGTATCTCTCATGTCTCCACATCTGAAGTAAAGGTATAATAACTGTTTTAATGCATTTATCTGCTGAGTCTCACATTTGTGCTAGTTCTGGGTTGGTTTCAATTGGTTGATTTTTCACCTTATATGGGTCCATTTTCCAGCTTTGCAATGCTTAGTAATTCTCAATTACATCATAGATGCTGTGAATGTATCTTATTGAATGTTCTACATTTTGTATTCCTACAAAATGTTACTGGGGTTACACCTTTCAGGTCTTGCTTTCAAAATTTATTAAGCTAACTTGGATAAGTGCTCAGTCTAGGTGTAATGATTCCCACTACTTAGAGAAGACTCTTCTGTGTGCCTTATCCAGTGAACTATGAATTGGGTTTTCTCACATGGCAGGTGGAAACAGGCACTATTCCTTTCCCTGGTTATTGCTGGAAACCTTATCCAAGTAATATTTTAAAAGAATATTAGGAATAAGTTACGTTGCAGAATACAAAATCAATATACAAGAATTAATTTTTCTTTTTTATATATTTAAATGTTTCTTTATATTCATGAAAAGATTCATAAGATATTGCCTGATGAGAAAAGCATGATGTTTTATAAGAGTATGATTCGATTTTTAAAAACAAAATACATGAATATGTATAAATACTAATATAACATTCTCAAAGATAGCTTTGAAAATGCAATATAGCAAAGTATCTGAAAAATAAATCAAGAACACAAATATATTTACAATAGCTATACGATGATAAGATACCTAGGAATAAATTTAACCAAAAAGGTTAACAATTCTTACACAGAAAACTGTAAAACAGTGATGAAATAAATTGAAGAAGACACAAATAAATGAAAGATATCCCATGTTTGTAGCTTGGAGGGGTTAATATTGTTAAAAATGTCCATAATAACCAAAGGGATCTACAGATTTAATGAAATCTCCATCAAAATACCATTGAAATTCTTCAGTGAAATAGAAAAAAATCTTAAAATTTCTATGAAACCACAAAATACTTTAAATAGCTAAAGCAATCTTGAGCAAAAAGAGCAAAGCTAGAGACATCACACCAAATAACTTCAAAATATATTAGAAAGCTATAGTAACCAAAGCAGTATAATACTAGCATAAAAACAGAGATGTGGACCAATGGAACAGAATAGAGCCTAGAAATAAATTCACCCATTTAAAAATTAATTTTCAACAAAGGTTCCAAGAGCACACAGTGGAGAAAGGACAGTCTCTTCAATAAATAGTGTTGGAGTGGGTACACATGGAAATACAGGGGGAAATAATCAATACTGGGATTCTAAAAGAGATTACAGTGGGAGAAGGATGTAGATTAAAAAATTACCTACTGAGTACAACATTCACTATTTGGGTGATTGGGTACACAGGAAGCCTAAACTTCATCATTACACAATATATTCTTGTAGCAAACCTGCACATGTACCCCCTGAATCTACTACTTTAAAAAAACAAAATAAAAATAAATGGTGTTGGAAAAACTGTATATGCACATTCAAAAGAATAAAATTAGACCTTTATGTCATACCTTATACAAAAAAAAAAAAATCAACTCCAAATGTACTAAAGACTAAAATCTAAGACTTGAAACTATAAACTTGCTAGAAGAAAATATAGGGAAAATCTTCTTGATATCAGTCTGGACAATGATATTTTGGATATGACCTCAAAAGCACAGGCAACAAATGCAAAGATAGACAAATGGGATTACATTAAACTAAAAAGCTTATGCTCATCAAAGGAAATAATTAACAGAGGTAAGAGACAATCTACAGAATGGGAGAAATTATGTGCGAAGTATATATATGATAAGAGATGAATCTCCAAGATATATAAGGAACTCAAACAACTCAATATCAAGAAAACAAATAACCTAATTTAAAATTGGGCAAAGGATCTGAAAAGACATTTTTCAAAAGAAGACATACAATTGGCCAACAGGTATATGAAAAAGTGTTCGATGTCACTAACCATGAGGGAAATGCAAATTAAAACCACAAAGAGGTATCACCTCACTACTGTAAGAATGGCTATTACCATAAAGACAAAAGTTATAATAAATGTTGGTGAGAACATGGAAAAAAGGAATGGTTGATAACTACTGATGAGAATGTAAATTAGTATAGTTGTTAGGAAAAACAGTTTGGAAGTTCCTAAAAACATTAAAAATAGAATAAATACATGATTCAGCAATTCCACTGCTGGGTATATATCAAAGGAAATTAAATCAGTATGTTGAAGAGATATCTGCACTTCCATGTTTATTACAGCATTAGTCACTATAACCAAGATAAAAAATAAACCTAAGATTTCAATAGTGGATGAAGCAGTAAGAAAAATATAGTATATATGTGTGTGTATATATATATCACCTATATAGAGACAGATAGATGATAGAGAGCTATAAATTGGAATACTATTCAGACATAATAAAGAAGGAAATCCCATCATTGGCAACAACATGAATGAACCTGAAGGACTTCATGTTAAGTATAATAAGTCAGGCACAGAAAGACAAAGACTGTAGGATTTCACTCACATGTGGAATCTGAAAAAGTTGATCTCATAGAAGCAGAGAGTAGAATCATGGTTACCAGAGGCTGGGCAGTTGGGAGGGGAAGGTGTTAAGGAGATGTTGGTCAAAGGATAGAAAATTACAGTTAGATAGAAGGAATGAGTTCAAGAGATTTATTGTGCAGCATGGTGACCATAGTTAATAACAAAACATTATTTTCCTGAAAAATGCAGAGTAGGTGTTGAATGCTCTTGCTGCAAAATAACTATATTAAGAAATGTGTGTTTTAATTAACTATATTTAACCATTCCACAATGTATTTATTCTTCAAAACACCATGTACACAATGAATACATATAATTTTATGAATTTAAAACAAGCAAATAAATAAAAAAATGAAGTCAAATTTAGGGGCCTCTATATTAATGGCAAAAAAAGAGAATACTAAATGGATAGATGTGGTGATAGGTTGAGCAAAAGCCTTAAGGAGATTTTTGAAGTAAAGAAGCTTATATATTTTTTGTACTTTGATATAATATATATGGATTAAAATAGAAAACTGGATTGTATTTGAATTTTAAAAAATTTTATTACTTGATTTCTTTTTTATTATTTTAGATCAATCTTATACTTTATCAATGTAATGTGCTCATTTTTGGTAATGTGTGGTAAGCAAAGCATTAGAAGTACAAATTCAACATGCATTTTGAAATTAGAAAGATAAATATATAATATTCTTTTCCCTTGGTAATTCAAAATATATCACAAAATTATAGTGTTTTTATTTTTATTGCCTGGGAGAAGGAACTATTAAACATAAGATAAAAAATATATCAAAATTCATGACAGTGACACTAGATGAACTTTTACAATGTAAAAGGACAGCAAATTATTTTTTCTCAAAGGTTTTGGTAAAATTTAACATTGTGTACCTGCCTAAGCTGTTTTGTAAAGCTTGTAGAGGCTTAGTAAAATATAGAATATTTCAAAAAATATGTATTTATTATATATGTATGAATAGAAGATAATTCAATGCCATGCTAATAAGGTCATGAGCTTTTAGTCAATTGTAGAAAAAAGAAAACACACTTGTCTTACTATTTTATTATAAATATGTGAACAGTGCTGCAGTGACTTGGCTTCTTGGAAAGCTTGAAATATTAAATATAAAATCTGTCCAAGATATAGAATACTTTAGGACTTATTATTTCCATTTTAGTAGGTGGCATAAGAGGATTGATTAAGTTGCTTTGGCAAACTTTGTCTATGCGATTCACTCTGACTCTCTTCTGGTGACCATCATGATGGAAGGAATGGCCTGGATACTGAGTTGAGTTCAAGTTTCAACTGCATCAGTATCTAACTGTACCTCTCATACAATTAAGTTTTCTCATACAATTAAGTTTTCCAATAAGGCAGTGAGAAAAGAAGTTGAAACAGATTTTTTTCTTTCTTATAAGCATTATGTCTATTTCATCCCTACACAGCCAAATGAGATAGAATGGAAATTATCCCATAGATTTGTTCCAACTCCCTACATTAGAGAACTAGCTAGTTACAGGCATGGACTATTCCAATATTTATGAGAGAAGGACATCAACTCTCTTGTTTTACTAATAGTTATTTTTTTGTTCTTTCCCTTTTTCTCTTTCTCAGACCACCTCTTTGCGGGTATAATATTGTACTTAAAGAAAAAGAGGAAGTGTTTCTTTATCCAAACGCGTGCACAGCAAAGAAAACATAAGATGCCTTCTTCTATCAAATGCACTTGTTTATGAATTAACGGACTTGTAAACAAAACAATGCAATCAGTCTTTCTTTAATAATGCACTGTTCAATTTGAGATTCAGGTATTTCTATTTCTTAAAAAAAAATTGAGAATCAAAAATAAAGAAAATAAAAAATGCATACAGTTAAGCATTCCAAATACATTCTGAAAGTTGTTTATTTCTGACTACTTTTTCTGCTTCCTCATTTAATACTTATCATTGACTATTTACTAATAATGAATAAATGTCTTTTGAAAAATAGGCAAGTTTAGTGAATACTTCACTGTTTTCAACAGAAAATTTATTTTACTACTAAGGTAAATAATGAACACATTATTTTATTTGTAAATTTTCATTTGGAGAAATCACTTGCATTAATGTGAACCTAGTAAACATATACACTTATATAATCATCTACTTGGCATCATTTTTAGTCATTTGTAAATAATGGCTTTGTTTCTATGGAGTACAATAAATAACCTATGGGTGAAATACTGGTTCCATTACTTATTAATGGTGTGATCTTGAGTAAGTTAATTTATCTCACCATATCTCAGTTGCCCAAGTAATTTTTGTGAAAATTGTTTCTAATAAAGTATTTTGAGCAGTGTCTGTTCATAATGACAATAATAAAATGATAGCTAACTCTTATGTATATCACTGTGTTCCTGGAACTATTTAAATGCTTTATACATATTAATTTATTTAATCCTTATGAAAACCATATGCAGTTAGCCATATTATCTCCACAGATGCAGAAGCCAAGAGACAGAGGCCAAGCAACTTATCCAGAATCATGCACAGGACCAGAATTCAAAACTAAGATGTCTGGGTCCATATTCTTAACTCCTATGTTAAGTGAATCCCCTAAGTTCAATGTGTGTTATCTGTTTCTCGATTTACAAATGATCACATTCAAAATCATAATCTAAATGTTCTTAGCATTCTCTAATTCCCGTGTTCAGTCCAGTAAATTCTAGTGCTGAGCTCTCTCTCACTTGTGTCTGAATACCCCAAGGATTTATGTGTTTCTAACACTCTGCCAACCACAGTCACAGCCTTTGTATTTTGATTGCCCGTTGAATTAGTTTTCTTGAGCTGCCATAACAAAATACCACAAACTAGGTGGCTTAAGCAGCAAAAATTTATTTTCCCACAATTCTAGAGGCCAGAAGTTCAAGTCAAGGTGTCAGCAGGCTTGGTTTCTTATTGACATGGTTTGGTTCTATGTCCCTACCCAAATCTCATCTTGAATTGTAATCCTCATGTGTCTAGGGAGGAACCTGGTGAGAGGTGGTTGCATTATGGGGGCTGTTTCTCCCATACTGTTCTTGCGATAGTGAGTGAGTCTCATACAATCTGATGGTTTTAAAAGTGAATTTTCCTGTGCTCACACTTCACACTTCTGTCTCCTGCCACTTGTGAAAAAGGTGCCTGCTTCCCCTTCTGCCATGATTCTAAGTTTCCTGAGGCCTCCTCATGTGAGTCAATTAAACCTCTTTCCTTTATAAATTACCAGTCTTGGGTATTTCTTTATAGCACTGCGACAATGACTAACACGCTTATGAAGCTCTTCTTTTTTCTTTGCAGATGGCTGCCCTCTTGCTGTGACCTCACATGGTCTTTCCTCTGTGTATGCACATCCCTGGTGTCTCAGTAAGTCTATATTCCCTCTTCTTTTAAGGGGACCGGTCAGATTAGATTAGGGCCCAATCTAGCAGTCTCCTTTTAACTTAATCACCCACTGAAGGGCCCTATCTCCAAGTATAGTCACATTCTGAGGAATGAAGGGTTAGGGTTTTAAAATATGAATTTTTGTGGGGACACAATTTATAACACCTGCCATGACCTGTTAGTATCATAATGATGTATTTTGATAATAATCCACTTGAAGATGAATTGGGGCCATTGTTGGTGCTCACCTGGAAGTAGGTGAAGGTGCTTCAGGTATTAGAAACAGGTTCTACACAAAAATACATTCTACTTTTTCCCTTGGGATTTAAGCAGTGCTGCCTGTACCTCTACTGTCTGACAGATTTTCATTAGAACAGTTTCTTCAGTTTACACTGCAGCCCTTCCCTCCACAGTCCTTTCTCCAGTCCAGAAACAGAGATACTGTTTCTCTCTTCTCCACCACTTGGGCATCTACTCACAATCTTCATACATTATTTCACACACACACACACACACACACACACACACACAACCTCATGCTATTTTACTGTTCTAATGCCCTCCATTAATTTTCCATATATCCCCAGAAGCTTTTCAATCTCACCCTGTGACATTAATGACACTTATGAAATGCACCGCAAACGTTACCAAGAGCAGAAATGTTCTTCCTGTCTGCCTGATTGCTTAGGGCCTCCGGGTAACAAACAAGGCAGTAGTCAACCGTTTCATGTATATTAGAACCTGTTAACCTCCTAATGAAACTTCCTTGCCAGAGGTGATAACAGTCTTCCGGAATAACTCAAAGACGTAAACTTGTGAAATGTGTACATGTTGCCACACTGCAATATCTTAGACCGCATGGCACATGTGTGTGAATGAGTGTGTTTGTAATGTATATTTTGTCTGTTTCTATATATAATGTATATTTTATCTATATATTATAAATAATATACACATAATATATACCACATAAAAAGATAATACACACATATACATTACATGACTGAAAACATGTATTTTATTTATTTTACTTTTTCTTTTATTGTACTTTAAGTTCTAGGGTACATGTGCACAAAGTGCAGGTTTGTTACATATGTATACACGCGCCATGTTGGTGTGCTGCACCCATTAACTCGTCATTTACATTAGGTATATCTCCTAATGTTATCCCTCCTGCCTCTGCCCCTCCCTACAATAGGCCCGGTGTGTGATGTTCCCCTTCCTGTGTCCAAGTGATCTCATTGTTCAATTCCCACCTATGAGTGAGAACATGCGGTGTTTGGTTTCTGTTCCTGCGATAGTTTGCTGAAAATGATGGTTTCCAGCTG